AATTTATAAAATTCACATTTAATATAAAGTTATTGAGCGATGTAATACTTAGTAAAAGTTACACCGATGTTATTATAACCCTTCTCTTTTAAAATATTATTTTTATAAATTAAATTTTAACATTTTAAATAAATTATTAATTAAATTAATATATTTATTCATCTTAAATCTAAGATATAAAATTCAAAATATGTATTTATTCTTGTTTTATTTTCTAATTATCAACCATTAATAAAATACTAATTTAAATCTTATCTAGTTATATCATAATATTTTCATATCAAGTTTAAAATCATATATTAGTTATACAAAAATATTAAAATCATATAGTAAATTATTAATAAGATTCTAGTTAAATAATTTAAAATAATCAATAATAAAGAAATACTAATAGTTAAGAAAATACATTTGTACTCTTCCTATTAGAAAAAGAGAGGACGTTATAATTCTTTTTTTCCTTAAGATTACATCTCTTCTATCAATAAAATTTAAATATAAAAATTTATTTAAAAATAAATTTATCATAAGGTAGAAATATATATTATAAATATGGATCAAAATAAATAAGAAATTTTAAAATTCATATACTCTAATTAAAAACTGCCTAAAAATCCAATCATAAAAAAAAACCTCTAAATATTTTTTCACATAAATAACTATTGATATTAATTATGTAGGAGTGCATATAAATATTTTTTTATTATAAATTAATGTCTTGCTCTTACAAAAAAAGAATGGAATTGATACTCAACAACAATATTATCATCACTTTTAAACAATTTATAAATTTTTTTAAGTTTTACTTAGTGACCGAATAGAATTTTGTCGCTAATTTTAACTAATATTTAGCAACTGAATAGAATTCTGTTGCTAATTTTAACTAATATTTAGCGACCTAATAGAATTACATCGTTAATTGTAACTAATATTTAGCGATCGAATTTAATTCCGTCGCTAAAAAAATCAAAATTTCTGATTTAGAGACTGAATTCAATTCCGTCGCTAATTTTAACTAATATTTAGCAACTAAATTTAATTCTGTCGCTAAAAAATCAAAATTTCTTAGTAACCGAATTTAATTCCGTCGCTAATTTTAACTAATACTTAGCGACCAAATTCAATTCCGTCGCCAATTTTAACTAATATTTAGTGACCGAATTTAATTCCGTCACTAAAAATATCAAAGTTTCTTATTTAGCGATCGAATTCAATTCCATCGCTAAACTAAACTAATATTTAGCGACTGAATTCAATTTCGTCGCTAAAAAATCAAAATTTCTGATTTAGAGTCCGAATTAAATTTCGTCGCTAAATATTAGTTAAATTTAGCAACTGAATTCAATTCGATCACTAAATTTAACTAATATTTAGCGACCGAATTCAATTTTGTCGCTAAATTTAACTACTATTTAGCAATGAATTCAATTCCGTCGCTAATTTAAACAATATTTAGCGACCAAATTCAATTCCGTCGCTAAAAAAATCAAAATTTCTAATTTACCAACCGAATTCAATTCTGTCGCTAATTTTAACTAATATTTAGTGACCGAATTAAATTCTGTCGCTAAAAAAATTAAAATTTATAATTTAGCAATCGAAATAGTGACCAAATTCAATTTCGTCGCTAAATTTAACTACTATTTAGCAATGAATTCAATTCCGTCGCTAAATTTAACTACTATTTAGCAATGAATTCAATTCCGTCGCTAAATTTAACTACTATTTAGCGACCAAATTCAATTCCGTTGCTAATTTTAACTAATATTTAGTGACCGAATTAAATTCTGTCGCTAAAAAAATTAAAATTTATAATTTAGCAATCGAAATAGTGACCAAATTCAATTTCGTCGCTAAATTTAACTACTATTTAGCGACCAAATTCAATTCTGGCGCTAATTTTAACTAATATTTAGCAACCGAATTAAATTTCGTCGCTAAAAAAATCAAAATTTATAATTTAGCGACCGAAATAGAGATTGAATTTAATTTTATCGCTAAAAAGATTAAAATTTATTATTTAGCAACCGATTTTCTAGCGACAACTTATTTTGATTGCTAAATCGGTCGCTATTTTGATTATTTATAATCGGTCGCTAAATAGCGACTGATAAATTTCGGTCGCTATTTTGTAATTTTCTAGTAGTATATAGTTCAAAAATCTAAGAAAATCCTTCTGTACCTCTCCCTATCTGACTCCAACAAAATTGACACAACTTAAAACAAATACCTATAAATATGAGAATTATATAAATAAACATCACTTTCAAAAAAAAATAATGATAAAAGTTAATTAAAAGATGATACATTTTTATTATTTAATATTTTATAAGAATTACTTAAAATAATTAAATCATTAATTTAATCTTTTTTTTTGGGAAATATTTTAATTTCTTAAGTTTATGTATAAATAAAAAATGAGTATCTTAAATTGCTTCAGATTTAAGTATTGAAACAAAAAAAAATAGTAAGTTGTTTAAAAATAAAGTTACAATATATAAATTAAACATATTAAAATACAATAAGATACCCATTTAAGAGGGTTAAAAGATGCTCTAGGCTTCCAGTTTTAACATTTGGTCCTCTTTTACTGTTATAGAATAGTAACATTAACCTCCTCAAAAAATAATTAAAAGGAGACAAGTAGTTTGAATTTGTCAATGTACATACTTGCCACACACATCCGAGATTCACACTGATTTTGATACTGACCACTGAGAACACATGTAAGCTATTTTCTAACTTTAAAAGGCTTTTCAGACATGTTCTGACATTTAGCCTTAGATTAAATGGAGAAATAAATCCTAAATTGAGAAACGTGAATTTTCTCGGAGACTAGACTTTTGAAGCGGGTTACTGGATTTGAATAGAGACAAAGATTCTAGGTGAAATATACTGATCTACTTTAGAAGCTTAAAAAAAGGATAAAAGCTTATACATTACGTTAAGCAATTCACATTTGTGTAAGGTGGTAAAATGCAGTGAGTGTGCAGGAAACGAGATTAAAAAGTTATAATTAATGAGGTAATAAAGCTAAATAAATATGAGATGAAGAGTGTATAAACATGTATAGATAACATTATTTCTTAAAAAAAAAAAAAAAAACTAGAATGCGGTCGCACATCGTGTCGAAGAAATTCTTTTTTTTTTCTTCCCCTCTTACCCTCATTAAGAATTATAATAATAATTTAACATAATGCAGCCTGATGGAGATGACAAATTCTTATTTTTAATACTATTTTGTAATATTTTAAAAAATCTGAATATTTCTTTTAAAAAATTAATTCTTATTTTAAAAACTTTTTTTAATTCTTATTTTAATAATTTAAAAATCTTATCTATTCGAGAAATATTTTAAAAATTTCTAAGTGGGACGGGATTTTTAAAAACATCATACTATTAATAAAAGAAAGTGAGCTTGTGTACACGTGTCATCCTCTTAAAAAGATTCCAGCTTAAAATCTTCTACTTTTCTTTTTTACTTTTTCTTTTTCCTCTCTTACTCTATATGAAGTTATTCATTCATTAAAGATTATAATAATAACTTAAAGATAATCCAGTCCAGCGGGGATGGCAATTTTTTTAATATTAATATTTTAAAAATTTTGAATATTTTTTTAAAAAACTAATTCTTATTTAATTTTTTAAAATTCTTATTTCAATAATTTAAAAAATATTATTTGTTTGAGATTAATATTTTAAGAATTTCTGAATGGGACAGGATTTTCAAAAATAGGGTGGGAAAATTTTTTGAATTCAATTTGTTAAGAGAGACGAGATGAGACAGGACAAGATGAACTTCTAGAGTAGGACATGGGATATTGTGTGAGATCCCCTTTCTCCCATTTTTCCTCCTTCACTTTCCCTCACTCATTCTCTTCACTCTCCCATTTTCTCAACTCCCTCTTTTTCTCCATTGTTGAAGTTGTGGACTCCTAGAGACGGAGATTCTCGAACGCAAGCCGTGTGGAGCTAGCTGGAAGCCGAATTCCTTCTCCATTGTCTTCTTCCCGGAGCTTGGATTCTTCACCGAGGTAAGGGAAGTTAGTTTTCATGATTGATTTTTGGTTGTGAATGAGTGTTGAAAGCTCTTTAACTGTTGAAATTGGTGGATGTTTGATGATTGTTGTTGAATCGTTGAGATTGGAAAAAATTGGGGTTGTAGTGGGTTTTGAGAAATCTTGGGTCTCTTGGTTGTTTTATGGTTGCATGTTGAGAAAGAATTGATTTTTGGGTTGTTGGATGAAAATGGGGTGTTGTGGGTGGATTGCATGTGCTTGGATTTCTTGTTTTTGCAGGATTTGTTGTTCAAAAATGGTGGAGGGTTTGTGGTTGCTGTCACTAACGGCTGAGCCGTTTTGAACGGCTGAGCCCCTTGGGAGTTTCGTGACAGGGGAGGGTTTCTGGAACCAAACCGCTGAGCTGTTTTAAGGCGCTGAGCGCTTTGGGGGCAGAGAGCTCCCTAGAACTGAATCGCTGAGCGGATTTAAAGCGCTGAGCGCATTGGGGGCAGAGAGCTAGAGGAGAATTTCTGGAGGCAAAGCGCTGAGCGCTTTGGAGGCGCTGAGCGCCTTTGTACTTTCAGAATTATTATTATTATTACTATTATTATTATTATTATTATTATTATTATTATCATTATTATTCCACCGAGCCAACCTGTTTTGTCCTTCAGCCACTTCCTTTGAGCTATTCCCTTCCATTTGCAACCCTTCTAGCTGCGCCAAGCCCTGGAAACTGTTGCCACCTTGATCACCCTTCACCCCACCACCCATAAATTTCTCCTGCAGGAGAGTTGAGCTCAGCAAGGAAGCCATAACAGGAGTTGAGGGTGCACAAGTTGAAGAAGAACCACCAAATATGGAACTATAAGCAGAAAGAAACGAGTTATTGTTATTATTTGAATTTGAAGTACTAAACCCACTTCGGTAACCGTTATCACTAGCTTCACTTGACATAACCCCAGATGAAAAACCTAGCCCAAGGGCATTCATCTGAGACTGAAGATTAAACCTTGGGAAAGGAACATTCATGTTACCGTTACTAGTTAACCCATAAAACAAAGGGTTTATATTGATATGGTTTGAGGTGGAACTAGAAGCAATACTATCGATGTGGGCCTGGGAAGGAGGGTTTGAATTGGCGCTGGGAGTGGAAGATGATGGAGGAGAATTAGCAGTAGCAGAAGCGTCACCGTTTGGACGCTTGACACGCTTGTTTTTTCTGCAACCGCCGCCAACGGG